GGTGAGAAGTTGGCAGACAAAATTTAGCGGACAATTTGCCGAAGATACCCGAATGACCAGTGGCGTCGACATCCTCGACCAGACTGTGATTGTGAAGGATACAGCTAACAGATCGCAACAATAAATCTATATGCACGAGAATAAGCACCCCTATATGAAGAATCATTTTCCACCCTAATTAAATAATTCGCAGGAACAAGAGTTAACCTAAAACCTTTCTTCGAATTTTCACTTACCGATTATTGTATATATGGTATTGAAAGTAATTAATCAGATAAATAGCATATACTGAGAAAATCTCTAAAGGGGTGGTAGATGAAAAAATATAAATAAATGAACATATTTTTTTATCTGCCAGCCTTTCAGAAGCTTTCTCACACCATGCCACCTAGCCTATAAATTGTCTCTATAATAGAGTATTTTTTTGAGGCACAACTGATTTTGGGGAATCATTTCCTTGGGGTTGAAAATGAATTTTTTAGCATATTTTTTTATCTGCCAGCCTTTCAGCTTTGTCACACCATGCCACCCAGCCTATAAATTGTCTCTATGATAGAGTATTTTTTTCAGTTACAACTGATTTTGGGGAATCATTTCCTTGGGGGTGAAAATGAATTTTTTAGCATATTTTTTTATCTGCCAGCCTTTCAGAAGCTTCCCCACACCATGCCACCCAGCCTATAAATTGTCTCTATAATAGAGTATTTTTTGTGGTACAAGTGATTTTGGGGAATCATTTCCTTGGGGGTAAAATAAATGCCAGACTGGGGATCCAAAAAAATGTGTCCGGATATTTCTCCCACGAATGCGAGGTTTTCGCCTTATCTATGTATCATGTTTACTCACTCCGGCATTTTAATATTTCAAAAAACGATTTTTGCCTAATAACACAATGATTGTTTAATTTTACTGCTTTTCATTTGATATGATATGGTAAGTTCGACACCTGCGACATGCGTATATCGAGAGGCAGGTAAAATTCGGTGTCACAATAATTTCCAAATCAAATTAGTGGTGGATTTGGATGTAGTGAGTTAATTGGTCAATACATTTTATTATTGAAACTGGCAGTAGCACGATCCGTGGAGTGTAACACGATAGTTTGGCTGCCATTCCAGATTCATTGAGCTGTGAACATTCATATCCACCCCTAATATCGACTGTGCTATTACTGCGTTGCCTCACCTCATTTTTTCAGAGGTGAGCTTTTCATCGAGCTCAGATTTTAGCCTTTCTTAGGTTAGCTATTATCCCGAACATTCGAGTATATGGATAAAAGCATTTTTCGTTCTGTGATACTGAGCGGCGCAGTGCTAGTAATTAGCACCCAATGATTGTTAACTTGCACTATACGAAGCGAAAGCAGGTTCTAGTCCTCGTATCTTGACTGAGTTTTGCCCACTTTCCTGGCTCCTAATGATGAACAGTATCATGAACACAACCTTAAGAACTGTGTTCTGTACCAGCATGTCTGTATTCATTCTATCAGTGCGGGTCGATTTCTACGTCGCAGGTGTAGCGACCGTTCTTGGCGGTTACGTCATCAACGCCTTATGGTATAAGTAAACAGATCGAGTCTCCGTACCATGGGCGGAACACTGCGCCAACTAATCTTCAGATGATCTGCTACTGTCTCCAGTACGCATGAAGTGGGTATCAGGAGACCGCTGTTTTCATTCTCTTCCTGGAAATACTCTAAGAAATTTAGCACGAGCCATCGGCCTTCTCCATTGATCGTATTTCCGGGTATTGTACCATTTTATATTGAAGACTGATACTCGTAACAGGACAACTCGAATTGGACGCCGATGTCAAGTAAGTTGTCACTCTGACAAATATGATTCAAGGGCACTCATACGTAACGACAAGATTTTCTAGACGAAGACACAACTAAAAAGCGTATGTCCTTGAGCTTAACGAACAAACGTTCACACACAGGACTAGGCTGCATGTGTATGTATGAGGAGATGGAGATATACAAAGGGATGCTGGTAGTCTTACTTTGATCCGCCAAGAACGGTGACCACAACTATACCTTCGATTATTTCCATCAAGGAACTTCTGCTTATCTGAGGCTGTCAAATACAGTCAGTCACCAAAAGAAATAATGATATGGTATTGCATGGCTATGCGCTCAACTGTAAAAGACCGTTTGTGACTTCCAGAAGTTCATTGTTGGAAAGAACCGAAATATGATAATAATTACTGACGTTCTGGATACACCGTACAATAAGTATCACATTCCCATGATAAATACTGATTAATCACAGTAAATACTAATCGTGTGGCAGTCGCCTAACCCAAATAGGAAAATCACAAAGACGAAAAACCTTTATTGAATACTTAACATCGAGGAAACGCACATATTTTTATATTATTAGCCTAACATAACAATTAATAACTATTGAATAATATATAAAAACCAAACCATTTTTGGTCCCTTTATGGGTGTGAAGTTTTACAATTGTTTCCTTAACAAAAATAATATAAACATTGAATTGAAAAATAATGGATAGTTCGTTAGATTCTTAAAAAAATAATGCTACTTGCAACAAAATTATCTCCCTGCGATGATCTGAAGATACAAGTATGTAAAAATTGAAGACGTTAAGTTTGTAAGCTTTGCTAGATAGATCTTGCTAGTTCCCTTTTTTATCAGCAAGACATAAAAAGCTATGCTGAGATGAAATTAGTGCAGCTAAGATAATTTCATTTGCGAATGGCGTACAAGTGCATCAAGCTTTAATCTTGGACAGTATTTTAAAAATTTTGCCGAGAAGCTAAGTATCTTCCCTCAAGTGTATCAAAGCGAAACGAACAACAAAACTTGATTCTGTAAGCAAATACAAGAGTATTGAAAAACCTTAAATTTTAACCTAATTATATTAAAGCATCTTTTGGGTTTTGAAAAAATGAAATTAATGAATTAAATACGTATTTGAAAAAAGTTTAGTGTATACTACTGTATAAAAATGTAAATGTATAATACTCCGCATTAAGCAAATCGTTTGCATAGAATGAAACCACGTCTCTGCATGGCGTAGTTTATTGAATACGTACAACGTAGCATGTTTTGGATGTATATATTTTCTAAGCTTTTTTGTATAGTATTTCTACTCTTCAAATTCGACCCCATCAAAAAGCTCCATGATCTACGAAACATCTTCTTCTAGATCATTAAAACAAAAGACCACCTTCATATCATCAAAATCATAGACAGAAAATGATTCAGTTAAACAGTTATACGAACAAAAATCAACCTTTAAATCTTTTTGTTTTTTTACAACAGAGGGAAACGAACAACGAAACTTGGTTCTATAAAAAAACACATGATAATCATTGAAATACCTTAGATTTTTACCTAATTATATCAAAGCATCTTTTGGGTTTTGAAAAAAATAACTAATGAATTAAATTCGTCTTTGAAAAAAAGTTTAGGGTATACTACAGTATACTACTCCGCATTAAGCAAGTCGTTTACAAAGAATGAAACCATGGTTCTACATTGCGTATTTTATTAAATACGTACAACGCAGCATGTCTTTGATGTATTTTTGTATAGCATCATATAGCATCATCAAATTCGACCCATCAAAAAGTTTCATGTTCTATAAAACATCTTCGTCTAGATCATTAAAACAAACGACCACCTCTATATCATCCAAATCGTAGACAGAAAATGAATCAATTGTATAGTTATACGACAAAAATCAACGTTTCACTCTTTTTGTTTTTTTTACACCGAGGCAGCCGTGCAGGCAGAAGCCCAAATGCCATGGCCCCGCGGTTGCTATGAGGATCGCAAAGAAACTGTAAGCTTCAGATGATTTTTCGGCAAAATGGTAGTCACACATGAGCAAATATCTCAAATCTGTAAGCACTTGCATGATTGGATGGGTTATATTTGTTTTTGAAATCATTAAAATCGGCAAACATGTTGTACTTATTCAATTCATAGCCTAATCATATACGAATATACCCCTGGTTTGCGAAATAATTGTAAGTCTGGTTTTATTGCTGCAAGTTGTTCAAAACATGAACGCATAAAATGGCTTCACCAGTTTTTGTGGGAAAATTCTTTATTCGACAACAAAGAATGAAACAACGTGTTTTTTGGGATTAAATCGAAAGTGTTGGCAGAGGAACAAAAAACTCTACATAGTATTTTTAGGTATCTATGAAACCTACAAAATGAAACCACACGTAAAAAGATTTGGCTAACAGTTGTGGCAAAACAGTTATGGCCGAAAATCGAGGGAAACAGCAGGTTTTGGCACTTGTTGGTAATGCGACGAGGGTTTCTCGCAGATATTTGAAATTCTTCAAATTCGTAGGATTCGCACTTCTAAGTAACTACAACAAAATTGGAGTAGATTGGTCAAGTATTTCTTTAGGATTCATAATTGTTTATCCCAAAACTTCTGGTTTGCGGCCATCACTATTAGTTTATTGAGCAATATACAGTTCAAAGGGCATTTTATTGCGAAATACTCTAGTTTACCTTGCCGATATCAATCACAAACCATTCCGGAAGATAGATGCATTTTTATACGAAAAACAAAAGTTACGTTTTTTCTTCTAAACAAATTCAAACATTTCGTACTTGAGAGTAATTCGCAACAAAAGATGATAGACACATCCGCTTTGTTTTAAAATGTGTATAGTAACTATGTTTTCCTAATATCGAAGCGCATTTGTTCAATTACTCACAAATACGAAATGTTTGAATTTTGTTTGCAGAAATAAACGTAACTTTTGTTTTTCGTATAAAAATAACATTTATCTTTCGGAATGGTTTGCTATTCATATCGACAATGTAAACACGTGTATTTTGCTATTAAATGCTGTTAGAACGAACCCTGTATATTGTTCAGTAAACTAGTAGTGATGGCCGGAAGACAGGTCTTTTGGGATAAACAATTAGAAATTTATAAAAAACTACTTGACCAATATACTCCAATTTTATTGTTGTTATTTAGAAGTATGAATCCTATGGATTTGAAGAACTTCAATTAGTTGCGTGAAATTATCGTCGCATTTCCAACAAGTGAAGGAACCTGCATGTTGCCTCGTTTTTTGGCCATCAAATTTTTGATATTATTCAGATCTGTTTACGTGTGGTCTCATTTTGTAGGTATCATAAATACCTAAAAATCTTATAGGAAAAGTTTTTTCATTCCTGTCAACACTTGAATCCCGAAAAATACGTTTTCATATTCTTTGTTCTCAAATAAAAAGTTTTCCCACAAAAATTGGTGCATTTTATGCGTCCATGATTTGAATACTCCCGTGAACCACTTGCACCAATAAAATCAGACTTTTCAATTATTTCAGGAAATTTTGCTAATATGATTAGACTACGATAGAGGATGTTTATCATAGATCTCTTATCAGCAGACGTGACGCTTTTCTGGGAATATCGTCCAAGCCCATTAGGTGGAGCAGGCTGGGGTCAAATTCGTTCGTAGATACCTTAGTCGAAAGTTCTGGAACAGATCAAAGGAGTGTCGAAATCAATCAGAAAATAATCATTTCACATGTTGAACTTCAGATCAATCGATGCCTTTATTGACATCATTTCCTATAGTAGTATTCAAATTTTGGGTATGTTTTTTGGCGCTTTTCAGGTCCTCAAAAGCAATGGCTAACAAGGCATTCCTCCTATTTTGGGTATTTCGGAATACAAAAAAACTGCTCAAAATTCAGAAGTAATTGGAAGTAATAAGAGTTTAGAAAAGCGTTGATGATACATTGTAATGTACTACAGTTTAATGTAAAACGATGATCGCCCATGGTGGCTCAGTTTGAATCGCTTTGTTTAGATGGCGCTGCCTCAGACAATTCTACGAAGTATTCAAGGGAGTATTAGATGTAAGTGTACTGATAAGTTAATTGATTTGCTCGTAGCCATTGATATACTAACTCATAAATGTCATAGTGGCATGTAAGATGGTCGAATGGGGCCTCAAGTATGCATATGACTTTTTGGATCAATAACCCTAGATGATGAATCATCTTGACGGGAGCAATTTTATTTAATTGTACCTGAGTTCCTCTGTTCCTTTTTTTATACTTTATATTGAAACCCCCTTACCGTGCCCCATTTTGTTTGACTATAAACAGTGCCATGATAGGCCAATTGGCAAGAAGAGTATCCCCGTCTTTTCCTTTAGTCCCCTCGTCGAGGATTTTCCAATTCATTAGGTATTGGTAAATTAGGTGAAAATGAGTACCTATAACCTTTAGTTATATGTATATGAATTATAATTCTTTACTATTATTATTCTTTGTTATTATTTTTTTATTATGGTTCCTATTATTGCTATTATTATTATTGACATTGAGACTGGCTGTATGGAGTTTTTATGTCCTAATGCCAATAAATGATAAAAAAATACCTGAGCTCCTGAGTCGAAGTAGGTGATTGTTCACCAAAATCCGAAAAGTTACTAGTCAATAACCATTCGTGAACGTTCATATGTGCGGTCAGGTTCAGATCCAGTTCCGCCTCTGTAGGGATGTCCTGGACAATCTTGACGTCCCCGCTTGATTTTTTGTTGGATACACCAACACTGGACCAGTATCTGTCGTTGGCCATCTGTAATTGACACATAACGTAACGAGAACCATGGGCGCCTACAAACATTTTCTTAGGGGGGCGATCATCAAAAGAAAGCATTATTTCTAAAAGTGTACCTGCCTCCAAGATCTTTTTTTAGAGTGGGAGGTAGCAAATTTCCTTAGAAATGGGGGAAAAGGGGGGGATTCACAAATCCTAAAATTCCCCAAAATTCTACACAAAATCATGCTAAGTACAGGGTGCAAAGTTAGTAGTGGATCAACGGAAGTCAGGTAATAGAGGGCCTCAAAACATATCGAATTAACCCCTATATGTGTGGTCCGAAATTTTATAGTTCAGGAGATATTTGCAATTTTGTGAAATTTCGAAAAAAAAAACGGTAAAATGAACTTTCAATCGCAATTAGAACTAAACCATCAGGTTTGGGACTGATTTTTTTTTAAATTAGCTGAATGGTTAGTTTTAGCAATGGTTATGTCACTTTTTAACAGCGCTAATTAGAAATCAATGCAAAAAATCTTAAATTCATTTTTTTATGAAAAATCTCTTCCATCCCTCAACTTTGGAGGGCGGTAAAAAAATTGAGGTTGTATTTCATTACTCATTTTATTGTAAAGACTATTTCAATCCATGTAGAATAAACTCTGAAAATTTTAGCTTGCTACCATAAGTGCCTCACGTTATAAAATCTGTATGTTGGACGCAGGTGGGTATCTATTCGTGTAAACAAGAAAATCTATACTTTACCAGCTACAGTCCAAACGACTTGATGGATTTTGACATATGAGTTACTGTTGAATTCGTCCTAGCAGTGCGAGTGATACTATGTGTATTAACATTTGGTAAAATCAAAATAGCGGATTTTTTACGCAAATAGCCAAATCAGCTTAATGAACTTGGGCATTTTAGGTGCGGGAGCGTTCAATCTTCGGTCCGACCGAAATTACTAACTCAGGCAATGGTCCAGCGCGGAATTTGTATCTAACGTTTGGCATCTGAGTATAGTCATATCATATTCTCCGCAAGATTATGCAGACTATGGTTCTGCCCCAGGAAATGCTCGAGCAGCCGCTCGCATGTATCGGGAGTATGTGGTTAGAAGAGGTGGACCACAAGCGGCGGTATATCCCGACTACCGCGTTTTTCTACGCGTCCATAATGCGTATATGGAGGGCCAGGGCCGCATACTAGGCACCCATCAGCAGCTAGGAGCGCCGAGGATACGCCCAGAAGAAATAGAAGATATAATAGCAGCAGCAGAGAGAGATCCCCCTATAAGCCATTGCCCGAAGTAGAAACATGTCCCATACTTCAGTGCACAGAATACTACGCTCGGAGAACATGCATCCTTACCATGTACAAAAAGTACAAGAATTGCTTCCAAGCGACTACGCACAACGGGCTGAATTTTGTGAAAATATGTTGAGAAGGTGCGAACAGGATGAAACTTTCTTCGATCTTATGGACAGATAATCCAACTTTAACCGAAATGGAATATTCAACATGCACAACTTCCATTCATGGAGCGTGCAAAATTCAGACGATATTCGCCGACACAGCTTTCAACGTCAGTTCGGCGTTAATTTATGGGCTGGAGTACTCAACAAAAAATTAATTGGACCATATGGTTGAATGGTCAGTCATATCTTGCTTTTCTACAAAGCAGTTTGCATGAGCTGCTAGAGGATGTACCTTTGGACGTTCGAAGCCGCATGTATTTTTAATGTGATGGTACCCCAAGCCACATTGCACGGGATGTACAACATTACTTAGACAGTGCCTTTCCTGGGCGTTGGATAGGTAGAGGTGGACATGTTGTACGCAATTGGCGAAAACGGTCAGTGCCCGAAATTTATACCCACAACGCGATGTGGAATTTATGAATTTTCCACATCGCGTTACGGATATATTTTATACATACACGCAAAACGCGTTGTGTGTAAATTTCAAAAATCCGCGTCGCGAAATAATAAATACCCGTAAGGCGAAAAATACGTAAGTTCGTAAGTAATGTGGAGAAATCAATAAAAAAATATGTAAAATAAAAATACGGACACGTTCTTAAGATCTATTTATGAAGTACACATTTTTTATAAAACTAATCTTTATTATCTATTCTTGCATGTCAGTGATCCATGCATTTTGAGTTACACTTCTTGTTTCATTGTTTGCAGGAACATTTATTATCACCACAAAATCTTTTACAATTGCATCTGAGAAAACCTTGACCGGAACCTTTAGATGACATATTTGCTGCAGTTCATTTGATTGCGACTTGAACTGCGAATCTGCTTGAAGAAGTTCATTTCTTGAAAATAATTTGTCCAGCGGCCCATTCTCAGTACTCAGTTTATACAAGCCATCATTATTAATTTCAGAAACAATGGCTAACACATTTCTTGGAGTTAGTCGGCCTCGATCAACATCTGGTATTCGGATCAAAAGATTTGTTCCAATTTCTAAAGGAGCATATCTTTTATTTGACTCACACAACATTTTTGTTGCTTGAATTTCCATCATTTTATGTGATTCCTTTCTTTGATTCAAAATTATTTCATCCTTTTGTGTTATCTGATAATTAAAGCTATTTTCAACTTCGCTTTCTGCCACACTATATTCATCATTATTGCCATTATTGTTGTCCACCATTTCATTAGCTTCATTTTCATTATTGTCTTGATTTGTCTGGTCGGCGTTGTTTTTTTTATTTTCAACATTTTCTCTATTTATTAAATTAGTATTATTGTTGTCATTATTTTCGTTCTCTATACTATTTATTAATTCTTCTAGGTCTTCTTCACTTTGCAATTTATGAATAACGTCTCGTGGAAGGTCTGCATCTCCTAAACCATTAACCTGTTTACTGCCAAACATAGCTTCTGCCAATTCCTCTATGAAAAGATCGGTTTTTCTGTGACTGTATGAATTTCAACCCTTCTGACCATTTTGTGTTATTATTATCGTTTACCCAGGTAATCAGCATATCGCGAACATCTTGGTTAGCTCTCTCTACCGAGCTTTGGCTCTGTGAGTGTCTTGCTCGGGCATGAACTATTTTAAGACCAGGCCAGAGAGTGCTAAGCAATCACCGAGTTGACAAACTCACGGCCGTTGTCGCAAAATATATGGTGAACCCACACGACAGAAAATATCATCCAAGAGTGACTCTGTTTGGATGTCGATCAGGTCAACCTACAATATAATAAGTACAATTAGGTATTGCTGTTTAATGAATATTAAAGTGAATTGAAATTACCTGACATCTACAGCTCATGTATTTGGAAATAATAGGTTTCAGAACTAAACCCTTCTTTGGAATCTTTTTCTTCAACTGACATGACTTACATTTACTAAGATACACGTTTATAATGTTTCGAGTGATGTTTGTGTATTTTTTTTTAATTCATGCTCCATTCCTAAAAATAACAAATATTTCAAAAAAATATTTTTAAGAACTATCTCATATTTAAATTCACTAAAAGAGTAATGTGATTCCTTATGATAAGAGGAATTGGTTTTAATTCAGCTTATAAGATTTGACCCATACCCACACACAAACACACTAACTCGGCAAGTTAAATAAGAGCTTGTAATAAACTCTTTTAAATGTTAATATTGTTTAATTTTAAAAAAAAAATAAATACCTTTTTCTCTTTTATGTCCTGTATTAATATGGGCTGCATGCACAATATCGAATAATTATTCACGATGAACATAAAGTTTAATATCTTTTTCGTTAGTGAATCTTCTGGCTATCAACTTTTCCTCCTCTGCAATATTTAGCAATTCATGTCGATTCAACCTTCGATAAAGTTTTGATGAAAGTGGTTTGCCCAATCTTCGTAATTCTTGTGCTTCTTTAACTTCACTAATAATATTTTTATAATCACCCTCTAAGAGGAGTGTAGACCTAATGTTTGATTCTATATAAAGCTTATTTAAACCACATTTTTTAAGATTTTCGATTGATTTTATCGAAATTTCACTTAAAACTTCGACAAAGGACAAACAAATAAACAAAATAAACAACTGCTGCCTATTGAAATAAGTAAGGTTATGCATTTTCGGGTTGTGGGTGTTTATTATTACCCATAACACGAAAACCGTCGCGTGTCTTCGATGATAATCGTGATTTCGCGTCGTTGATTTTTGAAATTTACACACAACGCGTTTTGGGTATATAAAATATATCCGTAACGCGATGTGGAAAATTTGTAAAATCCACATCGCGTTGTGGGTATAAATTTCGGGCACTTACCGTTTTCGCCGATTGTGTACAATAGACACATACGATGGCTTCCAAGGTCCCCGATCTAAATCCTCTAGATTTTATTATATGGGGGTTTTATATGGGGAGAATAATCTAAACATCTGAATATACAAACGTCAACCAACTGCGTCAGAAAGTTGATGAAGCAAAAATAAAGATTATGGAAAACGCAAATTCATTTCAGAGACTAAAGGACAATTTTATTAGGTGTCGCTTTTGTATAGAAAATAATGGAGGCCACTTCGAACATGTTCTTTAAAAGTTAGTTACATTAAATAATCTTTCACATTTGTCGGTAAATCGCCATAAAGAGCTGCTAAACACAATAGGTTCTTACTTGTAGGTGGTAAGGATTCTATTGCGTTTCTTACGTTTATCGCATCACAACAACAAATGTAAATTGATACACTCATCGTAGCAGGCTGAACTATTCAGGTTTTATTCTACATGGATTGAAATAGTTTTTACAATAAAATGAATAATGAAAGATCTCCACTAATCCACTAATAACTTTATACCCTGCATCTAATTCTTGATGAGAGGATAACGAATACGATTTCCGCGAAATCTATGTAAAATAAGTTTCGGCTTGAATTATGTCAGGATCCGCTTAAGTATGCTAAATAGTAGTTCTTTTGAGTTCTCAAGTGTACATTCGGGGAGTCTTAAGAGACATCTGCTGGCTACTCAGCTACTAATAGGTTACTTATTGGTAAGCTCAGTATAGTCCGTTTATTTTGTATAAGCTGTAAAAGATGGCCAACCTTGGACTGAGAGATAATAAGCTGTAAACTTGTAGAAATATTTATTTTGCCGTTCTGAAAAAGGTCAAAGGTCACAAAAAATCGGATATCTGCAAATATATCGGCTTCTATGGGTTCTATGCTATGTAGGTGAAACTCCTAATGAGTTTTTCACTCTATGAGGAGCTCGTTAGGGTCGCATAGGTTTGCTATACACCACAAACGTAAAAAGTTTGAGATGCATTTTGTGACCATCCTTTTTTTTTTGGAGCGAAAAACAGGAGGAAGTTATGAAGGTATCCTACCGTGTGTGCTTTTTTAATGTTTTGAGCAGTCTCCAAAAACTCAATTTCCCTTGGACTGGTGATGTTCCCGCCTTCGTTGCTTCCTTTTTTCGGTACATTGTAACTGCCCGGTTTCATATATACTCGTCTCTCTTCCTCAGAATCGTATCCAGCTTCGTCTTTGAAGAAATCGGCACTATAAGTTTGGTTTGCCTGATCGACTGTTTCTGTTACTACTGGAGTTGGGGGGAGGTGTATTATGCCTATCAAGAAAAAGTACCTGTTACTCTCTCAGAACTAGACACTCATCTCAAACGTTAAAATTATCATATTTTCGCTATTATTAGTCTACCAACGTCACCTTTTAAAACTCAATTTATGTTCTTCCGTTGAACAGTTTGAAATCAACGGAATTAATTCAAATTGTCAGAGATTCTTAACATGCAGACTAATTTGAAAAATGTACTGAATGTTTTATTATAAACAAGTCTCAGAGAGTCGTTATGGATACAGAGTCTTCGCATGAATATTTGATTTCTTCGAGAGTACCACAAGGCTCGGTACTTGGACCGCGTCTGTGTATATTGTACATATCTGATTTAAGCAAAATTGTATTAACTTTTTTGCAGACGATTCACAACTATATTATAGCCTTGATTACAGTAATATGAATACTGCTGAACTTCGAATATCAGATTTGAAATCTGTTGAATCTTATGCCGCCGAACATAACCTTCAATTAAATCAGTCTAATTCTGAAGTATTAATTTTTTCTACGAAAGAGGAAATCATACTAAAACTAACTTCATCATAAGATTCAACGGCAGTGTTATCCAAATTGAGGGATTACCAAAAAACATGGGGGTATTTTTTTATATATATGTATATATACGAGCCCCTTCCCACTTCAGTTGGCCCAACTATTGAAATCTTAGTTTGTTTCTTATCAAACACAAATAATAAAAATGTAGGAGGGTGTTATAGGTTTAAAATATTAACAATGAATATTTTGATAATATATAGTAGAAAACACCAACTTTATCACTCCCTAATCAAATTTGCAGCATAAAAATAACACATGTTGCAATTACAGCATATCAACCTATTTTCATTTCAATGCAAAATAAGTCTTCACGCATATGTGGCTGTGAAAAATAAAAGCCATGACAATTGTTTTTATTATCACAGCTGTCAGAATACGTTTTGGGTAGTTAAGGTTTTCAAAATGGGTAGAGGTAAGGTTATTAGTGAGAAAATTCGGTTAATGATAAATAATTAAATTTTTTAATTCTGGGAAGTCAAACTCAGAAATTGCAACTTTGTTAGACTTATCGTGTGTGAGAAATATTGTTAGAAGATATAACGTAACTGATTCAGTTAATATTAAGCCATGATATGTGCATTAAGAAGAATAATCGTGAAAAACAGGAGTGCCAATTATTTACAATTAAGTGCTCTGTGGAGTGACGCCGTTGCAAGGAGAATTTCGAGGTACACAACTCATAGAGAGGCCCACAAACTGGGATTTAGCACTTGCAAGGTAAATTTTCTTATAAAAAAAGTAAAAACCCTAAAATTGCACAACTTGTATATAGGCCAAAGAAAAGCCACTATGGGCTAAAGAACATAGACAATGGACACCTCAACAATGGTGTGCAATACAACGGAGTGATGAGGCCCGATTCGAAGTTTGTGTTGGTGACAGTCGCAGTAGAGTTATTCGCAAAAAAATGTAGCATTCCCTGTTGACTGTCTGAAGGGAAAAGTGAAATTTCCAGCATCCATTATGGTCTGGGGCAGTATGTCATCAAAAGGAGTAGGAAAACTTCATTTTAGTGATGGAAATGTGGATACAAACAAATATTTGGCAATTTTAGAAGAATCGCTTTTACCAGTGATGGAAGAATGTTTGACATCCGGCCAAGATTTTGTGTTTCAGCAAGATGGTGCAGCGTGCCATACCTCAAAAAAGGCTATAAAATGGATGGAAGAAAATAATGTACCACTTAGGAAATGGGTTTCTAGCAGATCTGTCACCTATTGAAACTTTGTGGCACGAGTTAAAAAAGGTTCTACGATAACATCCTGCTCGTACAATCACCGAACTGAGACAAAAGCTTCAAGAAGTATGGGATTGTTTTACACCAAATTTTTGCCAAAACTTGGTTAACACTATGCCCCAAAGAATTTCTGCCGTAATAAAAAATAAAGGTGATGTTACCCAATGGTAATCTTTCAATTGTTGCTTTGTTAACTTCGCGTATTTATTCGCACATTGTTTATTTGTTCGGATGTTCTATTAGTTATAGGTCTAAGTGATTTCAAATATGTATTTTTTACGACTAGAGTGTATCTAAAACGTTTTTGAGAAAATAAATTGTTTTAAAAGTAAATAGTTTCATGTTTAGTTTATAAAAGCATATTTTGGTACAAATCTTGAAGTGGCCCATCCATGTGTGGACAGAATATTGCTCATAAACAAATACATTTTGGGAAAATCTACTTAAGCGATGTTATACATGACATAATTTGAGGGCACATTTCTCAAATATTGGCAATTATACAGGGTGTCCCAATTTTGACCTACATATCAAAGTTTGTGATTTTTCAAATAGAATGCGTCAAATTTTAATGCATATTTGGATAAATCAATTCAAAAGATTTCGCAGTTCTAATGGAGTTTAGTAGAATAATGCTAAATAAAGTGAGTGAAGACACTACTTTCCTGGATAAGGTTCTTTTTAGCGATGAGACAACTTTTAACAGACATAACATGCACTATTATGCGATGGAAAGCCCTTACTGGGTTAGGCAAATAGATTTCCAAAATAAATGGAGCTTGAATGTTTAGGGAGGAGCTATTGGCCTTTATTTTTCGACAGATTAACAGGTACAGAATATTTGAATTTTTGATCGAGCATCTGCCTTTGCTTTTGGAGGATGTCAACCTGCAAACTCGGATGCATATATACGAGACTTTCAACAAGACGGCGCACCTGCGCACTATCATAATCGAGTGCGTAACTATTTGGACGCCTGGACTAACGATCGTTGAATCGGTCGCGATGGGCCTATATCTTGGCCTCCTAGATCACTAGATATAACACCGATGGACTTCTTTCTGTGGGGCTACGTTAAGCAAGAGTTTTATAGATATCCACCATTTACTCCGGAAAATATGAAGGAAAGGATTAAGGATGCTTTTCTGAACATAAGGGAACACATGCTGTGGGATGTGCAACGGTCATTTATCCAAAGACCACGGCTGTGTATTCAACATGGTGGATACATTTTCGAGTTTTTGTAGATTAGGTCTTGAGTAGTGATAGTTGTTTGATTATGTTGTTGTTATAGTTGTTTTTCTCTATTACGCTTTAAGCTGATTTATACTGTTCTGATTGTTATTACTTTTTACGTCAAATCTGTACTCTTAGTGGCAATATGGAACTAGACCGCTGTTTGTCTTATGTTTCCATGGATAATGTGATTTTTCCCTTAATTTTGGTGTGTTGTTCTATTAAACGCTTAATAACTCAAAATATAGTGATTTTATCTGAATCAAACCTTATACCAAAGAAAAGCTTATAAAAAATTGAATCCAAACTTGCACGAATATACAGGGTGATGGATTTGAAATTTTTGAGTAAAAGTTCAATTCGCGTTTTTGACCACTCTGTATCAGCAAAAACGAACGTTGGAAAAAGTAACAAATAAGATAAGAGCTGAGGTGTGAAAGTGTTTTTTTGATAGACAATAATTCAGCATTCCAAATTTCAAAATGGCTGATTGAGGGGTTGCCGAAGTGGACGGTTTTTCTGGACAAAACAACTTACATCTCAGTAGCTAATTACCAAAACCCCATAGTATGTTATATCACTCTTCTTCTTTTGAATTGATTTATCCAAATATGTAATAAAATTTGAGGCAATCCATTTAAAGAATCACATCTTTGATATGTAGGTCAAAATTGGAATACCCTGTATAATTGCCAATATTTCAGAAATGTGCCCTCAAATGTCATGTATAACATGCCATTAATAGATTTTCCCAAAATCTATTTGTTTATGAGTAATATTCCTTCCACACATGAATGGGCTACCCTGTATATACCTCACATAAATAACATTACCAAAAAATGATTTTCTGCCCTACGTCAATCATATCTTAACAGGGAAATACTTTTAGTACTAAAGAAATTCTATGCGACACTTTGATAATGTCAAGAGTTTCTTACCGCGACTCAGTATTTGTATCTGTAAAACGTTTGCAAAAAATACAAAATTCATGTTGCAGATTGATTTTTAACCTACGAACGAATGATCACATTAGCTCGTATTTTGAGCAACGAATTGGTTTAATGTTCTATCCACATCACTTCCTTTTTTACAGACAACCCAATTCTTCCCGGGGGTACCCACTCAAGAAATATTCATTTTGCTAATACATTAACCATGCCTCTTCACAAGACATTATTCTTCCATAAGTGCTTTACTTGTAATGCCATTATACTATACAATGCGTTATCATTACCTACGAAGTTTCTGAATGTCAACGATTTCAAAAGACAAGTCAAGAAAATTATTTTTGAAAAACAAATTTAAAGACAATCACCACATCTCATTCTCTAAATTATGAACATGAGCTATGCAGGTCCTTTCGATATCATAGGTGGATGTATGTGATGTTTATATAATACTACTATTTAGTAGATACCGTACTGTAATTTACACAATTTATTCTGTTTGTTAAACACATTTTTTCTGTTAATTTATTTTTGTTAAGGGTTAAGTGGCAAAGTAGCTATAGGTTAAGCTTTGCCCTAGATAAAGACGATTTATTATTATTTTTATTTATTACTATTACTATAAGACGTAATAACATTTTTTGTGTGCATTTTGATGAAGAATTGGTTCGGAAACCAATTTATATAATTCTGTCAATGTAATACATCTTAATTCAGAATCATTCATTATTAATTCAAAAGATTGTATTTTGTTCTCATTAATATTATGTCACTGTTATCATTTTAGACGTTTATATCAGTATTTTTGGTTTGTAAAAATAAGATTTTAAATAAAAAGCGGCATATTCGTGCGACTTCCTCAATGAAATCAGACAGGAACCGGAAAAAGCAGTTGCTTTTACATGTAGGTGCTTAAATATAAAATACGTAATTCTTGTAACCTTCATTCGGCTTATTCATGTCTTTATCTTTCCAATTGTATTTATTTTATTTCAATTAATGCATAAACCAAAACGCATGTTTGTAACCGAATTCAAAGTTTTACTAACTAATCCGCACATCTATACCACATTTCTCACAGTACAATGTTTAGTGCGGAAAGTAGCTGAAACGCTAATGGAGCTCCCAACAGAAGAAATTTTTTATTGCCTATGCCTATGATGGGAAATTATCTGTTGGAATGCAGTTAAATTATTTGTTAGGTTACTCAAATATTTTTAGAATCTCACCTCTCACATTCTTCGCAGGATTGTTGAGAGAAAGATTGGTCAATGTGGAAGAACTGATGCTGTTGTCCTCCGAAGTCTGACACTTCTTCGTTGTTCCAAGATCTGGAGGTGAAGTCTTGACAGAGTTGCTGTGTGGAGACACTAGATTTGTATCCAAATTATAGAACACTCTAGTCAACTGTCCAGCAAGCTCAATAGTCTCTTTCTCCCATCTCACGTAACACGCTCTGAATTCTGGTGTTAGCTCTTTTTCGATTTTGCCCAAACTAGATCCGTCTCTATTTTCCCAATAGCCCTTTAGGATGTGCCAGCAGTTGGTAAGCCTTACGAATGCATAGATGAAGTCCTTGGTAGCCCATGGTATGCCTTGAGAATGAATATTTGATATGGTGGTGCAAGGTTTAAGTATTTCCGACCTAGTTCTGATGCAAAGGTTCTGAATGTTTCTGAAACATGGTCTGTTCCTGTTTCTGTATGCGATTTGTTCTGCGGTGAGGCAACTTTTTTCCAAGAACTTCACAAAGTTTTCTGGCGTTGCTGATTCAGAGTTGTCGCCCAACAATAGCTCGCTTGCTGGTGGAGTAACCTGGGTGTAATCGTAACCACTAACGCATAACCCTGAAAGCAGTGAAAAATAAAGGTTCGAAAACTTATATGAATAAATGTTTTGTCGTTTCTTGCAATTCCAAATCATTCTACAAAACTTGAGAAGCATAATGTTTTGTATAACTGGTTCTGTATTAAATCACATTCTATTTTCCGTTGTATTGGAGTATCAATGAAAGAATGCAGGTTACTGACCTTCATTGCTACTATCACCATTCCCTTCCTGAGACCCTGCTTTATCTTTTCTTTCTCTTGAAATGCCGAAAGCTAAATCAGGACCTAGAGCAAAACTGGACTATTGTAAATTGCAAATTCTCTTGGTCAAGTTTCCTTTTTACTCCCTACGTCACTGGACGAGGAAGTATTGCTACATCACGAAAAACCATGTCACTCATTTTCGTCGGTCTGTCTGTCAAGGATAAGCACACTTTGTAGTTTTTGAAAATCGGTCCAGTATCGGCGGAGAAAAAGGCCCAAAACAAAAAGAGAAAGCGTTACCAGACGGTAATTACCGGTAGAACAGGGAAATGTCTATGGACTAATTATTGTATCGGCCTCTTTTGACTGTTTTGATCGTTTTTATTCTTCAATTGTACCTGTACGTAACTTTTTTTCAGAAGGTTAAATCTGTGCTCAACTTAATCCTTTATCAACTGAAATAGCCTGAAATGTATAAACAAGGGATACTACTGTAAAAGCACGAATGAAATTCTCTGCACATATGGTGAAAAACTTGGGACTATAATACGAGTAGCAAATGGAAAACAATCTTTCCTACAACTAGATTTTGCGGCGATCAAAAAGAATGGATTTCGAGAAATGTTCTATCAACAATGTATATCTATAAAATATGCGAACATAACGAATACTTGACAACCACGCATTTTTTGAAAGAAGGATCTAATAAATGCTTCAGCAAATTGTTGATGACCTCAAATATGACCTATACAATGACAACATAGGTCATTTGGGGGTCAAGTTGGAAATTCAGACAGTAGTCACCACATTTGATCTCAGAATCGTGTAGAACTCGAAATTCTACATCAAAATACGTATTCGTACATTCGTAGTTGAAGTCGAGCGGATATAAGTGTTACAGGTAGTACGACCTGTTGTAACGTCTGTAAAGTATATGAGCTTCCTGACAACTTGGCAACTACACCCAATTTTCGTTACCATAGCAGCATATTCGTGTAAAGTAGAGAGAGCTAGAGCTAGAGATTCTAACGGGTGATTTTTTAAGAGGTGTAGGATTTGATTTAAAAAAAACACAAAATATTTAAAAACGATTAAATCTTTATTTGAGTCGATAGAACGGTCGATATAATTTAATGTTTAAAGATTATTTCATGTAAATGTTGGCCGCGGCTCCGCTTTAGATGGCCCATGCGCAAGGTCCAATTTTGGCACACTCTCTCCAACATATCGGCCGGTATCTCAGGAATAAATGCTTCAATATTGGCTTCCAGTGCGTCAATCGTTGCTGGTTTATCCCTGTAGACATTAGCCTTAACATGGCCCCACAAGAAATAGTCCAACAGCGTTAAATCACACGATCTAGGCGGCCAATTGACGGGCGCCAAACGTGAGATAAACTGTTCACCGAACTCGCCTCTCAATAGGGCCATTGTTTCGTGTGCGGTGTGGCATGTGGCACCGTCTTGTTGAAACCACATGTCAGCCAAGTCCAGCTCTTCCATTTTGGGCAAAAAAAAATTTGTTATCATCGCACGGTAGCGCTCGCCATTCACAGTTACGTTCCGGCCATTGTCGTCTTTGAAGAAGTACGGCCCATAATCCACACCAAAAAGTGATTTTTTCGGGATGCATTGGTAGCTCTTGGCTGGTCTTCACTGCAGATGCGGCAATTTTGCTTGTTAACGTACCCATTCAACCAGAAATGAGCGTCGTCGCTGAACACAATTTTTCGATAAAAATGTGGATCTTCCTCCAACTTTGCCAGCGCCCATTCACCAAATTGGAAACATTGTGGGAGGTCGTGTGGCTTCAGTTCTTGCACCAGCTGTATCTTATAAGGTTTTACACCCAAATCCTGTCGCAAAATTTTCCACGTAGTGGAGTAACAGAGGCCCAATTGCTGCGAACGGCGGCGAATCGACATTTCACGGTCATCACTAACACTGGCGGATACAGCCGCAATATTTTCTTCAGTCCTCACTCTACGTCTGCGTGTTGGTGGTTTAATGTCCAATAATGTAAAGTGGGTTCGAAATTTATTCACAAGCTTCCGAATAGCTCCCTCAGTAGGCCGACCAAATTGCCCATAAATTGGAAGCAGTGCTCGATGCACTGTCTTAACCGAGCATGAATTTTGATAGTAAAATTCAATAATTTGCAAGCGTTGTTCGTTCGTAAATCGATTTATGGTTAAATTATAGACCAAATTGAACAAGTTTGACAAAGACACAAGACACGATTCACGCGTCATCTGTCAAAAACAGTTTTGCCAAAAAGATACTAGCAAAAAAATCACCCATTACAACAGAATTCATTTTCAGCCGTAAAACTTGAAAAACTTCCGTTGGAACGTTTTGAAAAAAATGCGTGGTTACCAAGTTTTCGAGGTGTTCGTGTCCGTTTACTTTTCAGACGTCATACTGACTCCATCACTAATGCCTATTTGACCTTCAATTTGAATCTTGATCTCTACACGAATCTGCTGACAAAATTGATATTTGAATTTACGAACTTATTCTCCATGTGACCTCTGAGGTCATTATCTAGGTCATAATTGAGAGCAACGACAGCTTACTTTTGAGTGTCCAAGTTGTGTAACAATTTTTTTTCAAAAAGTGTGTGTTCGTGTACGTTCCAGACGTTACAGGATGCCATACTGCTTGGACAGGTATTCTTGTTCTCACCACAACTGTCGGTAGACGCAACCAAAGGCTCTATTGCCCTAGCTTAGATGCGATGAGATTGCGGAAAGTACTGCAATATGTACTGATAGATTTAATTTGCCGAATCGACAGCTTGGTTTAGAATTGAACTAGCCTGGGCGATCAATACAGTTACTGCAGTACATAATATTGCAGCAGATTTATTATGCTATAAGTAAATACATATATTCTTGAAAATAGAAAAACTATTGAGGTTGTGTCGTTTCAACTTGTGGGGGCATAATAACAAAACTGGAACATAACTTGGTGGGATAAAAATATAATGTACTGAAGTGACAGAATTTGAGAACGTTTGAGTTTGTTTTAAAGCGACGATCATTACAGATTTCAGTGGCATAAATAACGAATATATAACATATAGCATATATCCGTAGCGCGTACTCACTCAAAATATGAGGTTATATTTCACAACAAACGGTGGGAAGTTCAAGCCCTATTACACAATCAGCATCGATTATCTACGACCGGGCGGTAAATTGTGCTTTTTGGATAGGATTTTTGGACGTTAAATCTCTGTTTTCAACTCACGCAGAGACTGCATCATACTCGTTGTAAGGGTGTGCCGCACGTTCAATTTTTCTTCATATTTTCAATTTTCAAACCTTAACGCCATAATAGCATAAATAACTATTAGTTGGACAGTTGTCGGATGGGAACTAGAATAGTACCCCAGAATAGTACCCCGGACTACTTATGACCGCTTCACCATATACACACTATAGAATCCCAAGATCCACATTCCAATGACCTTTGAGATCATTATTTAGGTCATTGTTGAGAGTATCCACAAATTGTTTGTTGACACCTTTTTTCAAAGAAATGCGTGGTTATCCAGTATTCGAGATGTTCGGATATTTAATAAGCACGTTGCAGTGTTACATTTGAGAAATTCTAATAACGAAACAATTACCTGTTTGTGCAGAAGCAGGACTGTACATAGCAGAGGCAGGTGGCGCTACGTGATGAGTAATTGGAACAGAATATTGCCCACCGCTACCCATGTTGAACTGAGTATATTGATAATGCTGCAAATAGGACCTTGGCACAGGTGGAGCTTGATACGTGACCAAAGGTGGAACCGGACTTCTGTAGCCCACGGCTGGATAATATGTTGGAAATACATTACCTGGAATAGAAGATACTGAATCTTTGTATCGAAAATATCCAGTACCATGTACGCCCTACGTAACTAACGAATTTGAACAGCTTATATATAATTCCATGTTTACATGGCAGTGTTTATCGCCAACATAACTTAGATTTAGTGCTTGTTTTTGGATAGCTTTACTTATCATTGTCCACTCATATATACTTCTAAAATGCAGTTAACTCAAACTTAAAACTTATTTCGTCTACTGCATACCTTGAGAATCAATTTTTTCATTGAGCCCTCCGAAATTACTTTAATATACTGCTCTATGTATTTACAAAAACACAGATTAACCATTACATCGCCCCCACCCTCCCAATTCCCCCTTTACGCCCCCCCGGTAAGTCCCCAGCACCCCCAAGGGGCACTTTGAGAAATACTAAATTAGAGCATACAACCGGCTCATAAGGCACAAGATCTCTGTCCTTGTTCATTACATTTCACAACCTCTTAGCCATTTCTGAGCTTGCATATAAAAGCTTAGAACTAATTAAGAGGCTAGGTAATATAATGTAACAAGGACTATATATAATAGTCTGTGGAATTATCTAATCCACGTAATGGCATCCACCTGATATACAGGGTGGCGCATCGACAACGAAACACGCATTTACTGGCAGTTCAGTTTTTTTTGGAAAAACGCTCAGACCCGTCGATTTTTTTTTCGAGGAGGACACAAGTTTGGCAAAAAATCACGCCCCTGGGCGGAGGTGACACCAACCCTAAAATCTTAAATGGAAAGGGGGGTCGAGTGATACCTTAGTTTAAAGGTCTTTCAATTCCCTTTATAATGATGTAAAATACATGAGCTTCAGTTCAGTAGTTTTAAAGATTTATTCATTTAAAGCTTAAAGTAGACTTTAATAGGTACATCAGATGAGTTTGTACTACTTTCAGAAGAAATTTGACTAACAGAATTTACTTAATAAGTAAATGCTTTTCTTGACTCCGCCCATGGTTTGTTTATCATTTTGTTGTTGAAAATAGCTATGGAGCGTTTTTTTGTGGCAAAAAAGTTATTTCTTGAAGAAAGATAATGAAATAACTTGTAACGCTTTATTACATAAATTAACCATGGTATATTCCACAGCAGAAAGAGTTGAAATTATCGCAATATTTTTCGGAAATAATCAGTGCGCTAATAGAGCAGCAGAAATATTTAATGAGCGACATGAAAACAGTAACGTGCATCGAAAATATGTTCTAGAACTTGAAGCTAAATTTCGGGAAACTGGGTTACTCGCCAATAAAAAACGCAACATTGAAAATCCCATAAGGAACGAAGCAATAGAAGTGGGGGTTTTAGGGCAAGTTTATGTAGATCCTACGTTAAGTACCCGCAAATTGGAGACTGTGTGTGGTGTTAGTCGACGTACTGTCCAACGGATTCTAAAGGCCCATAGTTTTCATCCGTATAAAATTTTCCTGGTACAAGAACCTAATGAAGACGATTTTGTTCGGCGATTACAATTTTGTGAAGTTATGAGTGAACGAACTATAAACGATGAACATTTTCTATTCAACACTTGGTTTTCCGACGAATGTTCCTTTTTCTTAAATGGCATAGTAATCGTCATAATTGGTCCGGTTCTAATCCCAGAATTTATCATGAGGTTCATACAAAGCAGCCACAAAAATTAAATGTTTGGGCTGGTATTTTTGGCGATCATTTAGTTGGTCCTTTTTTCTTACCTGGAATTTTGACCGGTGAAATGAATTTGGAATTACTGGAAGACGCCATAGATCCTGCACTAACAGCCATAATTGAAAATCAGATTGGTCGGCGGTACATTGCTAATGATGTTAGAACAGGATGGTGCCCCACCACATTACGCATTACGTGTTCGACAATATTTAGATCATACGATTTCAGATCGATGGATTGGTAGAAGAGGTGCCATTGAATGGCCCGCAAGATCGCCAGATATATCACCTTTGGATTTCCTTATGTGGGGTCATAAATCAAAATCTATGCTACTCAGCCAACATCATTAGGAGACCTGCGACAACGAATTGTGAATAACTGCCTTCAAATTACTCCTCAAATATTGCAAAATGTGCGGCAACGTTTTGAGCAAAATCTTCATTATGTCATGGTGGTCATTTTCAACATTTACTTGCCTAACGGGTCAGTTCATTCTTTATTTTTAAATTACTTTGCTGCCAAATGTATTGATCTCCAGTAATGATGATGTACATTATTAGTTTTATTTAAGCTTTAAATCAATAAATCTTCAAAACCACTGAATTGAAGTACATTAATTTTATATCATTATAAAGGGAATTGAAAGACCTTTAAAATAAGGTATCACTCGACCCCCCTTTCCATTTAATATTTTGGGGGTGGCGTCACCCTCGCTTGGAGGCTGCACGTGCTAACGTGATTTTTTGCCAAACGTGTGTCCCCATCGAAAACAAAATCGACGGGTCTGAGCGTTTCTCTAAAAAAAACTGAGCTGCCAGTAAATGCGTCTGTTTCGTTTTCGATGCGCCACCCTGTATGATGCGGCTATGGTTGGCTGCACCCTGCAACAAGTATACTCGGTGTCCAAAATGCATGGGGATTTCAATACCTGTGGGAGATATAGCTTAGGTTAAATCAGGAAAAAGCTGTGCTCTTTCTGGCGTATTTTGCATGCCGTTGAGAAATTTATAGAAATTTCATGGCTTAGACGTTTCCGCTTGTATATATTACTATTATGTTGATGCAATGCCGTCAGATGAGTAAAGTGTGCACTAAAATTACGCAAAACAAAAATCTTCACTATTTTTAGCAATTATCTGGAACATTCATACTGTATGGAAGCCTACACACATTTTATGTTTTCGCCGGAAAATACGGATTTAATGAAAGTGTCAACAGCTATCAAACTAACGATTTGAACCTAATCGACATACACTACGTTCATGCATACTGACTACTGACTAAGATATGGTGGATAAAAATAAATTTCATACTTTGCTCCTACTTGGTACTTATTCGTTGTAAGCAGTGGAATAATCAATTCACAAATTATTGCATGACCAATAGGGAATATATAATTCAGATACAGACAAGTATTATGGATTTCTGAATAAAAAATACATCTAGTTTAGAACCAGCAGTTCTCTGGAGATTTCTGTTAATCGATGCAGATGCTATATCAAATTGCACTTCTTGTCACTGACATATCACATTCATTTACAACGTCAACAGTTGAGGTTGATATCAAACTTTTTTCCAACATCCACATCTTTGATATTTTATTGCAATTACTCCATATACAAAGAGATCTTATGTTTTTCTAAAAGTGATTATATAGAAGTTGTCTACTCACTAGATATAGTTCCATCCTGTACATTCTATCAAATAGCTTACCCTGGCAATTGCAAACATGGTGCATATGAAGATGAACATTCTGCTGCTGGTTTGTACTGTTTTCAGAACGGTTCTGCTCCATACTCCAATATTTTACGATTTTTTTGGAAATTTTGAATGATTTATCAACTTACAGACTTCCTAATCATTATTTGAAGCTTATATTCAATTAGTCGTGGTAAATGCTATGCCAATAAAATATAACAATTAAATCATCTATAAAAACATGTACATAAAACTGGAAACTAGTTTTTCTCCAATAATAACGAATCAGCACGAGAAATGTCACTTTAGGTATGATTATATAAACACTTTGACAGTTTTCAAGAGCTACTATGATGATTTGTCATTTTATTTATAGATTTGGGGCAAGCAGATTGTGTTATACAAGGTGATCCTTTCTATAGCAGATACTCATTTTTGTCAGCACAAACACGACCCTCACCATTCGTCTATCCTCGACTTTTAAACAAAATTATTCATTAATTTTGTTCAACTAAGTATTTGTAAGAACAAGATATATAATCTCGCAGGAGAAATAGAGCTTTTTGTGTAGCTATATTTTTTTCTGTGGTATTTAGATGGAAGCATCATCCACTCGTTACGCAAGACTAGCATATTATCTGAATAACTTGATCTTGTAGATCAAAAGATTAATTTGAGATCTCAAAACCAAATTTGCAATTTTTGAATATCTATTTGAGTATCTCCCCTTTATCTTTGAGGGACAATGTTTCAACGTACAGAGAATTAACTATGGGGTTGATATTCTGATGACAGTATAAGACAAAGGGACAGTGGCGTATACATTTCTTTCAGCATCGGGAAAAGCAAAGAAAAACCCCTTGCTGGGAAATGGGTAACAAGTGAAGGCGATCTTTTGGTCGAAAATAGTTATGAGCTAGGTATAAGGACAAGCGAATAATTTTCTCTTCTTCAGGATTTAGATTACCAGAAATTGGGTTTTCTTTTTCATGTAATATTTTAAACAACAGTTTTCAATTTTTTTTTGATACGATGACTGCTATAATTTGAGAAACCTGTAGACCCATCTTATCCATTGTGGTCACTAAATGCAAATTTTGAATAAACCCGTTTACTGATGTTACGGCTCCTCCTGTAGTCTCTTTCAAAATATTTTCCGAGGCACAAAATTCTCAAGTGCTACATTACAGTCTTAGCTCCAACGACACCGGACTGCAGGGCCGGCTTTAGAGTTTTGGTTGCTCTGAGGTAAATGATGAAATATTCGGCCCTTCTCATACATTAATTGAGAAAAGGGATGGATCGAGCCTATGAGACACTAAGATTCAGATTTATAGGCCTTCCTTGAGGCTCGAGATTTTCTTGGAAACAGTTAATCTCTTCTTGAAAACGGTGAAATAATGATGCCTCCTGCATGGACGTTCAAGGGAGTATTTAAAATTTCACTTCACAGTGGGCTGTGACTAGGTGTCATCAGAAATATTTTTCTTTGCTGGCCGTAACTGTTTAAGCATTTTGATGACCAAATTTTCACGGTTTGGTTTATTTGTGCTAAATATATCAATAAACAATGCAAAATAATGTTTTTGCTTCCTGGAGTTACAGAGCCATCAGAAGAGAAAAACTGAAATACGTATCGCTCGGGTTTCTTATCCTATTTTCTGCTCCAATCCACTTTCCTTATTTTTGCAGATTTTTGTTATATACCTTTCTCCGCATGATCATTTTCCCTTTTTAGATCCTTTGGGCTTGAAGAACCACAGCAGGTAGCTACAACCGGCCGCGTGGTTGTGGTTAGATGTCGCTTTGAAAATTTGAGGTCTTCTCGCTATTTTATTCTACAATGTGTAGTAGGTTGGTTGTTGTTGTCGACTTCGTGTGTGATTTTTTTGCTCTCCATCTTCGTTTCCTCAGGTTACACCAGTATCCGGATATGTGGGCATGTGTATCTACTTTTGTAGTTACATATTTGCTTTCGTTTCGGTCCTGGTGAAGCCAACCAGCAGAAATACGTATCGCTCGGGTTAGCTATCTAATTTTCTGCTCGATTCCACTTTCCTTCTTTTTGCGGATTTTGCTCATTATTTTACTATTTTTTGTTTTATATATATGTATATTAACATATATATATATACAGGGTGACTTCGAAGTTGAGTCATTTATTTTAACAGTGAGTAGATCTGATCAAAAGAAATGTTTTTTCCTTTACCATTTTTCTGGTAAAATTAAAGTAACAAAGTTATAACCCTTTGGAAGTTTGAGTACCGCCCTGTCTCAATAATAATATTATGTCCTCGTGTTTGGCAACAACGGATATAATCCGCCTTATCGGTTCATCGCATCGGAAACAAAAAAGCGAAAGAATTTGGAACGATGTTTTTACAATTATTTTATTCAGTTGTATTCAGTCAGTGTCATTCGGTAACGCGTGAGTGAATAGTGGTGTCTGTTGCGTGGCTCAAACGAAATCAAAAATGGCACATGTTTACGAAAATGCTGAACTTGTGGACATGATTCTTATTTACGCGGCATCACGGATTTATGCGGATCGGTTTCCCAATCGAGTGCAACCAACCCCTCGTGCCTTTGTTAATGTAGTACAAAGGGCTCGTGAATCAGGTGACTTAAGAACTCACAGGGGAGGGCATGCCGGTGCTCCAAGACCGCACGATCAAATACAGGTCCGTACTGAAATACTTGTCGGGAGGATACTTTATAAAACAAGAAAACATTTTTTTTTAATTTTTTTTATTTTTACACACATGTTTTGGTTTATCTTCCTTCTACAATCATTATCTGAAAATTAATGACTCAACTTCAAAGTCACCCTGTATATATATATATATATTATGTATGTATACATTTTTTTATTGGGTAATATAGTGACAATGTGACACAGGTATCAATACAGTTCGGCAAATCCAGCTTGAGCCACGAGATGCACAGAAAACAGAGTGAGACGGTGGATGTCTGAGAGAAACGGTAATAGCCGACGGATATAGAAGTACAGTCGACGCGGCAAGTTCAGTTACAGCTTGCAAATTTCTATTTCATTTCATTTGATGAAAGGCTATCTATTTTACGATTACAATTCACCCTTCGTAGACAACCCCTTGACTTCGCTTACCAACTACTCCGAGATAAATTTATAAAAGACATCCGAATTTGGCATTTCACTAGAACTACACGGAAAAATGTTGGTATGCAATTCTTTCATTAAGGGATATTGATTAGCTAATTGCTTGATGGTCGCATATACATTTAGCTGAATAGGAGGGATAACCCTTCATAAAAAAACATGCCTCAGCTCTTCTGTTTAGATCTTTTCAGAAAACAGTAAATTGTGTAAAAGGATGTTGAAACGCTATATCTTTCAAAATGTCCAACAATTTATAAGGTATAGATACCCTGCTCTATCTAGCTTAATTTCTCAAATAAGGAAAGAAATATTAATTCTAACTGAAAAAACAAACACAAAAGCTTCTGGTGGGGGTTTTAAGCCCTGAAGATACTTTTATTATTTTCGAAAATTTTAAAATGGATCAACAGTTTACTATCCAAACTATCAGCACCTTTAGAGAATTTTACACATATATCACAGGCAATCTTAATACATCTTGCCCAGCATCATGCAGAATTTTATCTATTGCAAACTTCTTATTTATAAGCAGGCTTATGAAGTTTGATCAAATTGTACAGTTCTGGCTTAAGCATATCCTCCGTAAAAAAGATATTCCTGTGACGAAGCCATCGTTTCTGCTTTGGTTGTTCTATAACAACCACGCTTTTGGGAGGTAGGTTTGGAACTAACTTTTTTTCCAACCACTTTTTATAATTGTCAAAATTCATCTCATTATGGTAATCGCCTGTACTACACGTAGATTTCCATCACACATAAGCATTAGGTATGAATCCATTCTCACTGCCGGCATGGCGAATAATCAATCTGTCCCCTTTGGATACTGGTTATTTTCTGCCTTCCGTGGAGCCATCTACCCAGGTTTTGCGGTTTGTGTCGGAAGCGTGTATATATGTATATCTGGTCAGTATAGATCACTGGACGTCCTTCTTGTCTATATTTCTGCATACTCCTCAAGAAAATTATATGTAAATGGCGAATTTCTGGATTTTCCAATAATAGCTTCCTATTGCTTTTTTTCCACTTAAACTCTAATTTATGAATTTCTTTACGCAATGTTTCTCTGCTTCCTCGATATCCTACTAGCTCAATCATCTTCCTGTGTACACATTGCAAGGTAGGTACACGTTTTTCGGTTACCTACATTAAAGTTCATTATTGTTCTTCGTAACAATCCTATTACAATCCTTACTATTAATATTTCTTCTTTTGTTTGGTGTAGAAAATAAAATTGTGCTGTTCTTTTGTATATTTAACGCTTCTTGTATCTATAATTTACAATAGTTTTGAATAAAAAAAAGACCCATTTTGAACACATGATGTTCAACCAAGATGTTAGGTCTCACCGTTGCTCAAACGGGCAAGCAATTCGTGAGCAATTCTCTCTTCATTTATAGATATATATTATACTTATCATGAAGGCTAAAGATAATTTGAAATATGTCTGTGATAAAGTGCTATATTGTATTTTCATTAATGGTTAAAACTATATGCAAAATTTCGTGAACGAACATAGGCATGTTAGACAATGTCTTCTCAAAGTAATTTATTTTTCACTGATGCTTAAATTATCGAATCTGCATAATAATAATCATAATCATAGTAATAATCACTATAGTGATCGTAATTTATTGTAATCGTAATTATATTTACTTTGTGTAAAGGACTTTCAGCCTCATTCTGCATGAATCTCGATACCGAGGCAACAATTTCTCGGCATTGACCACTTAAAACTTTATTTGCAACTTTACTCTCCATTTTTCAGAACCTTCGAATATAAAGTAAAACAACCTATAGCTAACGCAATTAAAATTTTTACTGGAGCTGTACTCACGGTGCTACCTCGATCGCAGCTCGTTTGTCCCCAGCCCCACTACATTCCGCCGTGTCTACCGCGCATCTTACCTTGGGAGACCAAGCTAGATTTGTCAAACTGTAATTTCAATACTATGCTTAATTAGGTATTTGTTTTTATCAAAAAATCTGCTCGGATCACTAGGCAGCCTTTGACCCTTTTTGCCCACCACTTAGTACGACAGTGGATCACAACAATTATTCAGAAAATCCGAGTAGAATTGGGGCAAGGTCAGAATCACGAATTAAACAGATTTGTTCACGTGCTGTAGATATATATTTACTTTTGTTTCTTTGCCTCATTTAATTTATCCCCAAACTAAGCGATTCACATCGTAACACAGAAAGTATTTCTGCCCTGCTGTACGTGAGTACGCCCAGTACGATCAGCTACTCGAATATTCTTTCCAGAGAAAATAATGTACGCCAATGTATTGGTTTATCACTTTGGTAGGCAATGGTAGGCGACGGTAGGCCAAATTAGCACAGCAGTACTAAGACTACACAATGTTGGAAAGAAACAATGCAATGTAAACATATAGGCTTCGCTCCAATTGATCTATTCGAATTTGTTGATTCAACTAGAATCAATGTTTCTGTTCTACGTCAGAGAGCGCGGGCCACTTCTGCAATCTATTACATGTTGAAGTTGGATGCCGGACACCATCAACAAAGCCGAATGAACAAACCCCCCGAAGTGGCAATCAATTTAATACACAAAGCTCCAGAGAGAAAGAGCTTTAAGTTTGATCCGCGATTATCTTCAAACGCATGTTGCGTTGCATCCCTTTGAGCCTAGCGTTTATGTAGGTGATGTTCCTATTACGTTCCCGTTTTGTCTGATTGGAACGCGACCCTTTGTGCGTCTGAACACTCCATTATCAAATTATCATGCTCGACATGTTTGTATGCATTTTGGCGCGGGTTGGCGTAGACAGATTGCAATGTTTCAGAGGACTTAGGGGTGTGCTGTGCTGCACACAAAATAAATGCATGCAAGTTAGTTCGATATTTTTCTCACACAGGTATAGCATTTTTTTACCACGCACATACAGAGCGATTCGAAAGTTCAGGGTGCATTCAAGGGGCATGGTAAGAATCGAATTTGTAGAGGCTTAGAATTTTATCTGGCTAATAGATGGTGAGCCTGAATTTGGTACTTAGCATGACCTTGAAGGGCAAATCAAGGTCCAGGAAATTTTTTTAAATAGTATTGTTGATATTGAACCAACATGTTACTCGAACCGCATAACCACAAAATTCAAAATTGCAGTCTTGATGGCGATTGGCTCCATCTCGAAAGGTCAGCTGAGCGCGTCAATCAATCAAAAAGCTTCACACGACACAAGACAAAATAAACATTCTGTCTGTTATATAATAGAGAAAATGCTCAGTTTGTTCACTCTCCTACAAAACTGATTACTACCATATACGCTGTTTGTTACGCGGTTTTGCAGTATCATCGTCGATATGACCTTGGATAAAAATTTCTTGACTATGATCGTTTCTGATTAAGGCCACCTGTATAAAATGTGCTGCTCGATCTGTTTTCGGAATAAAGCATATAGCACAAAAATGTGTCACCCCGCTTCAGAAGTAGTTCCCGTTGGTGATTTCAATGACCTTTGGTTGGGCTCAAACAAGACCGATGCAGCATGTCGTGCAGTTGAAGTGTTCGCTATTACCCAAGGCCTGACCCAGCTAGTGTACGAGCCCTACCTTTTTCCCCCGCGTTTCGTCACATGCCTACTGGATCTCTTTCTAAATACACATCCTGTTTCTTACAGCACTGCTGTTCTATCTCACCTAGGTAACGCATACCACGGTGTGGCAGCAGAAACTCACCCAGGCCGCAAAATTTAGCATTGCCGACATGCGGAATGGGAGGGCCTCAGAGACTTCCTCTCTAATTTTCCTTGGAGAGACGGATGCGTCGGCTGTCCATTCCTCGATAACCAAAATTAACCACGTTCGGATGGAGTAATACATCTCTCGGACAGTGAAAGTGCCTAAAGCAGGGTCCAACGGCTGGTTCAAAAAATCGCGCGACACTGCTCGCCAGTAGAAGATCAAGTCATACAGAACCTTCTTACAAAACCCCACTCTAGAGAACAGACAAGCCGACGTCGAGTCCAGAAACAAATATAACGAAGCGGTTCGCAATGCCAAAATGTGCGGCGGAGCTTGTTTCAGTTGATTCGCATCTGTTTCAGATATCTCACGAATCTCGCACCTTCCCAGAAAACGGAAAATTTGATCATGTACCCATCCCAAAAAATGATCTAAGAAAAACAACCACAGGCCTATTATAGCTCTGTTATAAGTAAGGTGATGGACAGGTGCATAAATTGCGAGCTTCTGGACTACCTCGTACACACAAGTTGATTAGCTTCAGGCTGGTACGAGCGATACACAGGGGACCTCCTTGCTTGTAGATGAACTCATCCAGTCTTATGGTGAGGCTCATGTCGTTGCTCCTGATGTCATGAAAGCGATCGGTCAGCTGCTGCACACTGCCCTTTTATGCAAACTTCCAACCTATGGCCTCCTAGAGAAGCTTTGCACATGAGTGGCCACAAGATGTCCGTTGTAATTGACGGGTTCTCCTTTTTATCCCACAACACTGTTCCTCTTACATAACAGCGACCTCCTTTCCTGAATTATCAACTCAATCCACAGCTTTGCTGATGACAGCACTCTACATGCAGGAATTCAGCACGAAAAGCCGATCTCTACCAGTGAGCTGAAAAAAAGAAGACTAGCTGCGACTTCCTCTCTGACGAGAGACTTGGAGGTTATCACTGTTTGGACACGCAACAATCTTGAACAGTTCAATGCAGTACTATACCTGTACCTTGAAGAACAAAAAGCGTTCTAGCACTCATTCGGTTTCGATGGATGGTCGAGTTCTTCCAAAGAGCCGTACAGTTCGGCTGGTCGGAGTCCAGATCACCGAGGACTTGGCCTAGCACACACATCTCGTCAATAGGGGCGCCGCCACCCCGACTACATTATTTATGTTCGATGCTATCCAGAGGAGGACTGTCCGACTGATTCAAGACTCTTCTCTAACAGACAGTCTTGGGATCCTTTCGCACTGGCGAGATGTCGGCGATCTAGCTCTCTTCTATCTGTAACCAACGGGCTCTGATCCTCAGAGCTCTTTTCCATGATACCGCCGCGCGATGTGTTTGCCAGACAGACCCACCTGACTTCGACCTGTCACCCTAACCGTATCGAACTTCGTACATCAATAACTGACCGATATGACCGCTCCTTTATCCCGAGGGTGTCGAGACTGAGGAACAATCTACATGACGAGGTTTTTTACAGTTCTACTACACTTAGGCAGTTCAAAAATCGGATTAACAAAATTTCTTTGGGATCTCATAGCAGCCGCGGTGTCCTAGCACTTAGGTTTCTGCCTTCGCAGCTGCTTTGGTATAAAAAATCCGTATTTCGGAAAACGCGGAGGTACCACCCGGCGGATCTCGTAGGCGGAGCCAGAATGTGTGCATGTTGCATGCACACGTGTTCCCTCGCCAGAGTCCGTGTGGCGTTCCCCCTTTCCCATGTATCCCCCCTATAGCCCACGGTACCCAATGGGTGCTTAGGCCTTAGGCCTTCGTGGTAGTTGGAGTATATAAAAAAAAGAAGGTTCATACAAAAGTTTCAGACCATAAAATAAATTTATTGATGACCTCTAACATGACCTTGACGACAAACTCAGAGGCCATTTGGAGGTGAAGTTTGTAAATGCAAATAGCAAGCATCACACTTGACAGCAGATTCGTAATCAGTACGAGATTATACAGGGTGTGGCAGCATTTCTTCTTTTTTCTCAAAACTTAAAAAACCCATTGTATGAATCAGAACATTTTTATTTGTTTTTCATAATGCATGCCTTAAGTTTGGTTTACATGGCCTTAAAGATCAAATTAGATAGATGATGCCTGCTATTCTCCCGACATTGAGTAAATCGATTTCTGGCGTTCTTCAAAGAACCAGGGACCAATAATTTGGGCTAAGGAATTTCCTCACCACACTGTGACTCCAGGTAAATACAAGTGGCTTTGACGCATTCTCGAATATTTGTGTCAGCTCAGTAACGTATGTTTTTTTTGTTGACGGATCTACACAACTTAAAATAAGCTTCACCATTAAAAAAAGTAGCGTCCTCGGGACTCACACGCGTTCATCCGAGAATTGAAGTCACGTTCAGAAAATTGCTGTACAATTGCCATCATGAAGATTTCTGCTCGCAGAACGATCGGAAAGTCCAAGAGCAGACGCATGGTTGAACATTGAAGCTCTCACTGATTCAATATTTTCGGGTGATCTAATGGGCCGAGTGAATTCAGTTCTTTGTCTTGTCGCACCTGCAGTTGGTCTTAACGTAATGATCCACGTAACAATTGATTTCTGGTCCGAGATATTTGCCAACGGGATGTTACGGGTTTAATTTGAAATCATACTCTAGTCCTAGGTGCTATCGTGGTCCGTGGAATCAGCCCTAAACTTTGTCCAAACCTTGTAGGAACTGCCGTGACCCTGCAATAATCGTAAACACTAAACAAGGGTAGACATATTTCTAGTTTAACTACCTGAAGATTTTCTCTATGGTTTATACGTAACTCTCCACCTATTATCTCGTTTTGTAGTTGAGGCCCCTTCATCTGAGAATTGTTTGCGTCTTCGTTTCTTTCCTAACCTCAATGTTACATTTTGACAAGTGTTCGGTCCTTTCAGTCCGGGAACAGTCCGCTGTTGTTCCATTGCTCCATTGCTCCTCTCGAACTTTGTGTTCCGTGTCCAAGTTGAAGAAACTTCACTTTTTGGTCGTAGCTCTGTTGAGAAGCACGCATTTTGCGGATCTTTACGCCAAATAAAGTCTAAGCGTTCTTTCTTTTTATGTCCCATATAATCCTACGGGGATGTGGGAGACGGGAGTCTTCGACGCTTTTACGGTGTTCTAGCCGACACTTTTAGGCCACACTCCAACAGAGGCCTTTTTCATCTTCTTCCAACTTTTTCATCTTATTCCAACTTTTCGTCTTCTTCTCCTTACGTTTTCTCCACCAAACTACTGCTGATATCTTCAGATGAAGCCCTGATGACTTTTCCACGCCCTGCCCTGTAATGAGAGTTCCAAGCAGCCCCTGAGGAAGGGAGCTGATTCAGCTGTTGCCAATGTCCACAGACGCCATGTGCTGAAACCCCGTCGAACTGCATCTATATACTTAAGCAGCTAATTTCACTTAATATGAATTATTTATCCTAACTTCACAGCTGGTGTGATCCTGAGGTATGCATACCCCCGGCAACTTGTCCACAGACGCCATGTGCTGAAACCCCGTCGAACTGCATCTATATACTTAAGCAGCTAATTTCACTTAATATGAATTATTTATCCTAACTTCACAGCTGGTGTGATCCTGAGGTATGCATACCCCCGGCAACTTGGTAAGTCACTAATGTTCGTTTTCATTTGTTGTTAGGTGATCGATTAACCATTGCAAAGTGAAATTTTGAGCTTACTGTGATCATTTTGAATACTTCTACTTCTGGGGTTCGAAGTTGTTGTTGATTTGGAGGATTAGGGCGCTGGGGGAAATGAAAAGATTGCCAATTTCCAGAGCTTGCCCAAAATCTATTTAACTATTTTTAATAAATCACCTGAAGGGTGCTATTACAATGTTTGCAACAAACTACCTGAAGGGTGCTATGACAAGGTTTGCAACAAACTACCTGAAGGGTGCTATGACAGGATTTTCAAGTATTCAAAATGATCACAGTAAGTTCAAAATTTCACTTTGCAATGGTTAATCGATCACCTAACAACAAATGAAAACGTACATTAGTGACTTATCAAGTTGCCGGGGGTATGCATACCTCAGGATCACACCAGCTGTGAAGTTAGGATAAATAATTCATATTAAGTGAAATTAGCTGCTTAAGTATATAGATGCAGTTCGACGGGGTTTCAGTACATGGTGTGTGTGGACACTGGCAACAGCTGAATCAGCTCCCTTCCTCAGGGGCTGCTTGGAACTCTCATTACAGGGCAGGGCGTGGAAAAGTCGTCAGGGCTTCATCTGAAGATATCAGCAGTAGTTTGGTGGAGAAAACGTAAGGTGAAGAAGACGAAAAGTTGGAAGAAGATGAAAAAGTTGGAAGAAGATGAAAAAGTTGGAAGAAGATGAAAAAGGCCTGAAATAAAAATCCAATATGGCGCCGGGTTCCATTTTAACGCAAGCCGAATTGCTTACCTCTGTTGGAGTGTGGCCTAAAAGTGTCGGCTAGAATGCCGTAAAAGCGTCAAAGACTCCCGTCTCCCACATCCCCGTAGGATTATATGAGACATAAAAGGAAGAACGCTTAGACTTCATTTGGCATAAAGATCCGCAAAATGCGTGCTTCTCAACAGAGCTACGACCAAAAAGTGAAGTTTCTTTAACTTGGACACGGAACACAAAGTTCGAGAGGAGCAATGGAGCAATGGAACAACAGCGAACTGTTCCCGGACTGAAAGGACCGAACACTTGTCAAAATGTAACATTGAGGTTAGAAAAGAAAGGAAGACGTAAACAATTCTCAGATGAAGGGGCCTCAACTACAAAACGAGATAATAGGTGGAGAGTTACGTATAAACCATAGAGAAAATCTTCAGGTAGTTAAACTAGAAATATGTCTACCCTTGTTTAGTGTTTACGATTATTGCAGGGTCACGGCAGTTCCTACAAGGTTTGGACAAAGTTTAGGGCTGATCCCATGGACCACGAAAGCACCTAGGACTAGAGTATGATTTCAAATTAAGCCCGTAACAGGGACTAATTAAAGCAATTCAGGGTTCGATCACAGAAAATTCGCTTGAAAAGCATGCCTCAATGGCAAAATCACGCTTCTCACTGGTTCAACGTATGATGGCGACTGAACTGTGTCCGGGCAAAGCTTTATAGACCACAAGTGCGCCGCTACCACAGCAACCGACTGAATTGTACGCATCTTAAAAAAGGAAGTTATGTTGCCGCACCCTGTAGATAGGACTCAAATTCCATAAATGAGGCCAGGCGGTAATAAGCAGTCAAACAGTATGCCGAACTGCTTAACATTCTTTGAAAATAACGGAACACCCACAAACATTTTCTTTCCATCAAGCCTATTTTCCCAAGTTCCTTGAGTTGTCAATTATCAAAGTTTTCTAAAGTATGTTTTGTACACAACCAGCTATGCACAGCTGAAAAGGAGCTAATTTCAGAGTGTACCTAAGGAGTTCAAAGGAGAAACACAAATATTGTCTGTTATCTCTACCAATCAAATAATGTTTATTATTATGTTTCCAAGAAACACCTGCGGTTTTTCTTCTGAGAAGTCAACTTCTCTTAAGTTAATTATTCACAGTTTTCCCTTTTTGTTTATCCCTCTCTGGTAGTTGAAGGAGAAGAAGTAACTTTGTAGGGTCGTCAAAAGCTACTTGTTTGTATGAAAGATCATCACGACAGCATTCAGTTTATAAAGTGCCCAGCATAAAAATGATTCCTGTGTTTAGTTGTCAGAAAGATAAGTCAATAACCAAAGTAGAAGAGACTAACTGATAGTACAATCATTTGGTACCCAAAAAAGAGATTGATGAGAAGTTCTAAAAAGGTTTAAGAAGAAATGATGTTCTCATAGATCTTGATTAGTTCCTTCTGCATTTTATTTTGTTACTTTGCATCTTCCACGCTTCAGCCGCCCTATTGAAAAAATGCCATCCAAAAGCATTTTTTGACAATATCTCCTTTCTGACTAATTTTACGAAAAATCAAGCGAAAAAATGATCTACAGAACACTTCCTGCGATTATACAGGGTGTTTCAGTTTATTGTTGAATAACTTTAAGATTCGATAGAACTTTTAAAATTAATGCATAAAGTCTACATAAACATGGGTCGAAAAATGCGTGGCTTCCGAAATACAACAAAACGAACCATGAGCATAGTTTTACTGTAGCCGCTAGAGGGCGCTCTCTACTGTACCTGTAGTGTATTAAAATAACCGAAAATTTTTTCTTAGTGCAATTTTTTGCTTTTTGAATAAAAAAACTGATTCTTCGCACTTTTCTACATAAAAAAGCTCTGCTGTGAGTTTTCTTTATAGTTAGCCGTTTTTGAGATATTTCGATTTTTAAGGTCGATGCATTTTTTATCATTTATGGGAAAATAATATTTTTTTTACATTTCCGATTTGGGCATTACAAGTAATTAAGATGATCGTTTAGATTGTGTTTTTAAACACAGCAATAATTCCTAACTCCAAATAAACACAAAAAAAACAGAATATCAATTTGTTTAATTTTCCAATATTATTTTTAACAAATTAAATTAATTATTTACCACTAAAATGCTATTGGATAGTTAGGACAAACATACAAAATCTAAAGTAGTTGCTCGAAATCTAAACCCAATTGTTCAATACATAATTCACATCTACGAATGATCGAACGTGGTATAGCATTATTCAAATAAGGCATTATTTCATCACATGCATTCCTGATTCTGTCTATTAGCATATCTCTTGTAGTTACGGGAGTCTGGTACACTTTTTCTTTTAGAAATCCCCACACAAAGAAATCTAATGGATTTAGGTCAGGGGATCGTGGAGGCCAGGCGACTGGTCCTCCACGGCCGATCCATCTTTCTGGATAATTTTCGTCCAGCCAGTTTCTAACTATTCTCGAATAATGAGCTGGACAACCATCAAGCTGGAACCAGGCCAATCTTCTTAAATCTAACATAACATCATCCCACATATTTGCGTGTTCAGCCTTTAAAAATTCCAAGAAGGTCGCAGCATTTAACCTTGCAGGCAAAAGGTCGGGTCCAAATAGTCGATTACGGTAGATACCAATCCACACGTTCACACTAAATTCATGCTGAAAATTTCTTTCCCGAACTGCATGCGGATTTTCATGCGACCAAATATGTTGATTATGACAATTTACCACTCCACGTCTAGTGAAGCATGACTCATTGGTCCATAAAACGTTACTTAAAAACTCCCTATTATTATCAGTTCTATCAAGAATCCACTGACAAAATGTGATTCTTCGTTCTCCGTCCCCTGGCTGTAGTCCTTGCATAGGCTGCAAATGGTAAGGACGTCTATGGTCATTTCTAAGAACACGGTGAATATGGCTTGCTGAAATTCCCAAGGCACCAGAAACTCTCCTAACACTTGTGGTCGGATCTCTATCAAACTCACACAGAATCATACGGGTAAATCTGCGCTGACGAACATTTATGATTTGATCCCTTTGGAGATTTCCAAAACCATTTTTAATGATTTGGCGATGCACTCTTACAAATACTGAGCGAGTTGGATGTCGTCTGTTTGGAAATCTTCGTGCGCATTCTCTGGCTGCTTCTGCTCCGTTTCCATTTACAAAGCCATACACAAAATGAATATCCGCTAACTCTTGATCGGAGAATAAAAATGGCATTTTTATAAAACTTACAAAAAAACAGGTAAAAGAAACTAAATTTCGTGCATTCACAATTGCAAAAAAACGTTTCAGGTTTCAACAGACAACAAAACTAACTGTCAACTAATTGACGTTTAACCTTATTCTGCTTTCAATTTCAAAAATATTTGCAGGCACAGCCTGTTTCTAAAAATTATCGAGATACTGACTTTTTAACGT